ACGAACATGTTCTTGCATGAGGCCCAATGACCCAAAACATCCAGTCAACCTACAGTGGCACGGTTTAATGGACAACTCCTGACCTCTGGAACAGCTGGAGCTTCCGCCCGTCATCTGTTGTTTTGAGAGATCTGTGCTCCAGCATGTGGGTTGTGCCTCAGGTACTGCAGTCGACTCCATTTGCATAAGTAGTCTTAACAAATCAGGAGCTAAACTGAAGATAACCAAACCTTTTAAGTGTTTAAATATGATTTTAATTAGCACACCTTGCAGTAAATAGACTAGAAAAATGCTGCATTTTGTGCACATTTTTTTTCTTTTTAAGGCTTTACCTCGCACATCTGCTGCAGCAATATGTGACTGGCATTTGCACACAATGCGCTTATAAGAACAGATATTAATTTTATTTTATTTTTTTAGTCCCTGACCGGCCCTCCTCTCACTCCAGCAAATTTTAGAGCGGCAGGCTTTTCTTAGACAGCCAGAGCAGGCTGAGGTAAGGTGGGTGTAGATTAGCCTTAATGTCGTTGTGGATTTCTGTTTTTATTTAGCTCCACAAAAAATAAATAAAATAAAAATAAATGCCTGATCCGAGGTTGTGTGGGTGAGGTTGGCAGTTAAGTGTTGAGTGTTTGCTCGCAGAAGAGACAAGCTGGAGGAACTGCGAGCAAGAAAATTTTTATTTTATTTTTTGTTGCTCTGATGTTTCAGGAGAATTTAAGCTTCTTCAAATTGGAAGCACGCAGTGGGACTTATTCATTAAACACAGTTGTGTTACCATTGTTGTGCTTAAAATCTGTGCCACAGTTACTGAATCCATTCATCCAGTTGGGGTTGTTATTTCTCTCACAAAGCCGTATTAGTTCTACCTATTGGCTGCGGAAAATAACATGACAGGGATGTCACCTGTTGACTTACTGCCGGCCTGTTTGAAGCTCAGGATGTGTGCTTTTTGGGATGTTTTTCAGGACAGAGTTTGCTCAGTTAGAATCAAAGGGCAAAGCAGATAGAAGCAGGATCTAATTCACAGCTGCTGTAAAAACAAACAAAAGATTCATTGTAATATTCATAAAGCAGCATCGAGTAAAACCTATAACCAGCAGAAACAAGCTCATTCAGTGACACCCACTTGCGCTTGCTGATAGGAAAAATACTTCCTTTATATTACTTGTATTTAGAAAAAAATAACAATTTGTCTGACATTAAGGGGAAAATTAAAATGGCTGTGGTGTGTATAATTTCTCAACTGGAAAATTAATGCCAGCACGAGAGCAACTGAGCCTCAGAGCGATGAGGAATAATATTAACAATAAAATCAACTTAAGTGAACCGGCAACTGAATGGAAGCCAGGAATATATACAGCTCAGGCTTACATATGTCTCTTTCAGTAACCGCTGAAAAACATGTTGGTTCCTTTTCAGTCATTTCACAGTACAACACACAGAGTTATATGGGACACGCGCGCCCTTGCGCACCTGGCTGAAGCCACCTCTAATCATGTCTTTAGACCGGTGACGTGGTGATGTTGAACGTCGGGTGACAAGCTCCGCCTTCACCCTATAAGTTCGGAGTCACCAGCGTCATTACTCAGTTCTATCGCCCTTCACCTCGCGATAGTCACCTCTAAACCTGAGCTCACATTGCTGCTGCTAGTTAGCTCAGCTTCTAAGGTTCTTAGGCTAGCTTAACTGGTGCTAACCGCGTTACCTGTTGGTTCGTGTGTCTGCTGCTCGACGCTACTTAAGTGACCTTTATTTTCTGCTGAAAATCTGTTTTGTGGTTCACAATGAGCACAAAATCACCTTCGAAGAAGCTGAAGTCTTCTGTTCGCCCCTGTCCTCAGGGGTGCGGCTTTAAGCTTCACGAGAAGGACCAGCATGAGGCCTGCCCAGCCTGCCTAGGAATCATTCACGCTCGAC